GCCCACACTGACCTTATGACCTTCTAGGGGGCTCTCTAGGCAACAACAACAGCACAAAATCTCCAACTCTGATTTGTTTTTTAAATTACCTTGAACATTTTGGTAAATGAAAAGTGAAGCAGATTAGCAAAAAAATTTTAAAGGAGAAAATAAAAAGAAATTTTCTTTCCAATTGGAAAAAGAGATGAAAAAAAAAGAGGCAAGTACTATGTGCAGTTTCAAAAGTCACTGTGCTAGCCCTGGGGGAAGTTTTGCCCAGATCATTAGAGAAAGTGAACCTGGATTCTAATAAAAATGACCGATAGGAACCCAGCCTTTGCCACCTAGAAGTTTTGTTTGTTTTTGTTGTTTTCTTGCTGGGTGCTGGGGATGGAACCCAGAGACCTGTGCACGCTAGGCAAGTGTTCTGTCTCTGTGCTACATCTTCAGCCCTTCATCATCAAGGAGTTTTAACAGAGTTCTCTCATTATTTCTCAGGAGAATGGTCCCCTAGGACACCCCTGGGGCAATATCCCCTCCCCAAAAGCAGACCCAGTGAAACAGCATTTGGCTCTGTCTGGTCATCTACACCCCCCACACCCCACATGTCCTCCTAACTTCCTCACCCTCATCTGGGCCAGGTCAAGTTCTTGCAGCTTGTCATAAATAGCCCTGCCAGGAAACAGATCTAAGTCTTGCTGGACTTCAGTACAAATGACTTTATTCCCACAAATACCTACTCAACAGAGCTGGGGAAGACGACTGAAGGCAAGAAAGAAAACAATACTTAAAACATTACACACACATCCCACAGCTAACCACAGGCATGGGACAAACCCCAGCCCCAGCTCTAACACTGATAACCCATCAGGGCATTCGGACTGACTCACGCTCACTGTTATGAAACCTGAAGATATGTCACACACTGTTGAGTGTGTCTAGGAGTCCCCTCCCCCTGTGACTGCCCCAATGTCAACCTTCCCATGAGTAAATTCTACAGGCCAACCTGCCTATCCCAACAACTCCTGTCCTTTGGAGGATATCTCACTCCTGGCCCCTGACTTTGCTTTACTTTGCTCAAAGCTCCTGAGTCAATGAGTGTCGTCCTGGAAGAACAGGCACATCGTAGCTGACAGAGTGATGGATGAGCCACCAGGCAGCCAGCTTCCTCAACAGAAAACTCTGGCCTGTTTCACAAGCTCTAACAAACAAAAACAAAAAAAAGTGCTCACTCTGCAGAGATCACAGGCTTGCAGGGCATGGTTGCATCCCTGCAGGTTGTTGGCAGGAACCCTTGCCCTTGAGCCCAAGGCCAGTGAAGGGCAGCATATGAGACTTCTTGAGCTAGTTTGGCCCCTGGGGATGCTCCTGTTCTTTCCCTGAGCAAACCTGAAACTTTCTTGCTTAGTCCAAAATAAGCCACAGCACTTCTGTCTTTGTTCCACATAATCTACTCCCAGATAACCAGCTCCGCAGTGAGTTATCCAAGCTATAACTTGTCATTCACTCATCTCAAAACTCCAGTTGAGCAGGAGATACAAGCTGGCCTTCTGCTAGGCACTATACCCAGAAATGAGACGAAGTGAGCTCTTGGTCTCTAAGGGTGAGCAGTCTCTGGTAATCATCTTCCCTCCTTCTGATCTCCCTGCCTCTCTGACCCCATCCCTCTGCAAGTTAGGCAGGAACAGGAGATGGGAATCCCCACATCCATGGAGTTCTCCTTGAGAGATGTCACTCTGCCCCAAACTGAACCAGAACAGACTTGAGATTTGGGGCTTGTAGGAGAGACTTGTTTATCTGTGGGTTTTATTTATCTCTGTCCTCTGCTAATCCCCATCCTTCCCATGACCACAGGGAACTGAGATATGGCTGTAATTGCTGCTCAATCACACGCCATTAACTTCCCACTTAAGCTCACTTATACCAAGTACATATTTTATTCCCTCACCCACACAGCCAACACACTAGTGCCCACAAATCATCTGTGTGCACTTTGGAAATTTTTCAATTATTTTTAATCAGCTCAAAAGGGGCTATTCTCAACATTAATGTGGCTCAAACTCACCAGGTACCAAGTGCCAAGGCACCTAGCAATTATGGGCCTTGGCAGGTTCCTTACCTGCCAGCACAACATATTCCTGGTGGTACTACTTTCATGGAGCACATTAGCACAAGCAGGAGACTCCAAGCTGTCTTTTAAATGCTAAAGAATATGTCGCAGCAGAAGTTGAATTTGGCTCTAAAGATTCCAGGGAGCAACAGTGTTGGGTTTGGATTTGGGACTTTTCTCCATTTGGGGTAGATTTTTACCTCCATTGAGTATTGTCACTCCACAAGTTCCCCTGGTTTTTGCATCTCACTACAATACACCCAGGAAACTGTGTGAAAAGAAAGACAGATGGAGGGAAAATAAACAGTCTGCGCTTTCTCCAAACTAAAATTACTTGTTGCTTATCTAATAGTAATAATCATCTGCAGCAATTTTTCCAACCCTCAGAATAAATCAGATTTAAAATGTTGATGTGTCACAACATCCGATTAGCAGCTGAGATGTAAATTGCAGAGCTGAGCTGAGCTGAGCAAGGTAGGAGAGAAATGACTAGGATGATCAGAGGTGCTCAGGAAAGGCTGAGTAAAAAAGCATTCTTAAGTTACATAGGGCCACATCACTATCTCATAAATGGTAGTTCCCTGGCTCTAAGCCCCCTGGAGCTTAGACTCTTCTCAAAAAGGAGGAATTTGGAGATTCTCATGCATAAGCATAACATGGTAACTCGTCCCCAAATATCTAGTACAGTGTTTAGGCCAAAATAGGCACTTGGTAAATATTTATTGAGTGGATAGATGAATACATGCATGGATGCTTGGATGCATGGATGCATGGATGGATGGATGGATGGATGCATGGATGATATGGTTTATGATCTATAGTCAATTCTTATAATAATGAGCAGTGATATGACAAAGGTCTTTATTACTTTTTCTATCTCTGGTACCTTTATTCTGGATACTCTCTCTCAGTCTCTACTTAGATACTTATTCCTTTCCTAACATGTCACTCCCTACCTTCTGCTGAAAACCCTTTGAATGTTCCCCATTCCTACAGGATAAAGTTTAAATGTCCAAAGATGACATTCAAAGCCAGATAGGAGTTAGCCTCTGCCTGCCTCTCTAACCTCACCAACCATCCTTCCCCACACCGTCAGTTCCAACTACACTGAAATACTTGCATGAGCAGATCTACTTCTCATTCCCCATGCCCACGTAGGGACAGGTCCTCTGCATGGAATATTTTTCCTTGCCTTTCCCCTCTTTTCATATTCTACCACCAAAATGCTTTGCTAACTTCTACCCATGCTTCCAGACCAACTCAGGCATTAGCATCCCAATTCTCCAGGTAGTGGGTGGTCTTTCCCTAATATCATTACACCTGTGACTCTGTCATAGCACTCCTCACACCATATTAGAACCACTTGTTCACATACCCTCCCTCTTTCTCTAGACTGGAGGTTCCTACAGAGTTGGGTCTATGTCTCTGCTCTCTGAATTTCCAACCATCAGAGTTTGGCACATTGTGGACACTTGGGCAATGTGAATGAATAAGTGGAGGCACAGAGGAAATGTCTATCCTGGGAGAGGGCTTCTTAGTCATTAATACTTTCTTTTCTCCTCTAGGTTTCTGATTCATCAAACCCATTTCTTAATCGAATGCTCAACAGAGATACTATCACAAGAATAACATATAAAAGTAAGTTTGGTTCATTTTCCTCTACAGCAGCTATTCTGTAAAGGTTATTCGTGTTGGAAGGCGGGAAGCCAGAATTGATGATCTCCATGGGCCCCTTTCAACTCCATAATCCCTTAATTCTGTAGAAAGTCACTCTGGAGAGTCAGGGTTGGCTAAAAAGCAGCTCGTTTCAAACAGAAGTCCCCAGGGTGTCTTTGTCATCCATGCCTATCTAAAGCAATAATGATTATGATGATGTGGCCATTGTTATCCTGAGGATGTAATGAGCTGGAGGATTCTGCTGGCTGACTAACTCTACCATGTCAGCTGTCCAGACTTGGGGCTCTGCCAATTATGTGAATGAAAAAGCACCCACCAGATATTTTGGATCCAACCTCAACACTTACGGAGTCCCTCAGCTGGACCAGGTCTCCCTCTCCATGTTGCTGGGTCCCCTTCCAGGAAGAGGCAGGATGCCACCTTTCTTCATTCTCTGCACAGATCTGTAGGACTCTGTCCAGCCTCCTTGAGTCTTCAAAACCCCAGACTTCTTAAGCAGAAAAGAGAGAACAGCACAGTCAAAGGAGGAAGAGAAAAGAAGGCTCTGCTGCCATCCACAGCCACCCTAGAAACTCCACGATTGGCAGAAGCTGTGTGAGACAGAATACACCAAGAGATGAAACAAATCAGTGTGGGTCAAAAATTATTTTTTACCTAATTGGAAGTGAACTGGAAAATGGAATTCAAGTCTTGACTTTGTCATTCATAAAGTAGTTTCCTTACTTTGATTTTGTTTCCCTATCTATAAAGTGAAAAGGTTGAGCTTCCAGTTTCAGGTTTCTTTCTTTCTTTCTTTCTTTCTTTCTCTCTCTCTCTCTCTCTCTCTCTCTCTCTCTCTCTCTCTCTCTCTCTTCTTTCTTTCTTTCTGCAGTACTGGGCCTTGAACTCAGGGGCCTACACCTTGAGCCACTCCACCAGCCCTTTTTTTGTGATGGATTTTTTTCTAGATAGGGTCTCTCGGACTATTTACCCAGGTTGGCTTTGAACCGCAGTCCTCCTGATCTCTGCCTCCTGAGTGGCTAAGATTACAAGCATGAGCCACCAGTCCCCGGCAAGCTTCAGGTTTCTAAAGTCTTCTAGTTCTAGGGCTCTGAGGTAAGCAATAGGTAAATAACGATTTTCACCAAAAGAAGAAAATAGCGTGCAAACATTCTAACTCCCATGTCCCCTTGGCAGGTCTTTGGCTGAGCAAGGAGCTCAAGTGTGTCTCCTACTTCTACCTCTAATAACTATGTGGAAAAGATGGAGGGAATCTTTACAGGTCTCACCTTGGAGAGCTGGAGGGAGAGTTTAGAGAACCCTGCCATCATTTGTTTACTTATTCATTCAACAAACATTTCCTGCAAGAATGTAAAGATGGCTCAGACATCAGCCCTCCTGAAAAGATGCTCAACTCTGGGTCAACTCCATATGAAGAGGTTGAGGGGTGACTGGGGTGATAAACGAACCTAAGAATTGCTCCACCTAGATAGACATTGCCTAGAAGAATGGATTAAGTTGTCTTCACACGTCCTGCCCTTTCCTCATCAATATTCTTGTGGAGTTCTCTCTGAGCATTAGATTGCTCAGCTAAGGGAGATATTTCCGTCTTGTGTGTAAATAGCACATTTATAACTGCCCATAAAAGATTATTATTCTTTTAACTTTTTTGATTAAAAAAGCATGAAAATTAAATACAATATTCTCAAATAATCTTAAATTTGCAGTTTAGAGACTGTGAAAAACTATGAAATTGCACATTAAACCCCAACACACACCATCTGACATACTGGCCACTTGCACAGTCAATCATTAGGGTCCTTCCTCCTGACCCCACCCTCAGCTCTAGTCTGATTAATACTAAGTGATATGGTTGCTACCATAGAGGCAGGAGTAGGGGAAGGGAAGAGAGACAAGGAGGAGGAGAAGAAGGAAGAAGAAAGGTAGGAAAGAGAAAGGGATGAAAGCAAGAGAGAAAAGGAGGAAGAGAAAGAGGGAACCACAGCATCCCAGGCAGAGGGAGAAGCATGTACAGAACTTGTGACTGTAACAAGTTCAGAGGGAGGAGCTCTAACTCCATCAGTTGCTCATCTCAGTGCCAACAATGAAGTACTCAGTGAACATGGTGAGGCCCAAGCTAATGGAGAAATGAATGACCTCTTTCAGTGGCAACGATGGGGCACAGTGAGTGTCAGGAAAGGTGTTCTGGAGCCAGATAACAATGCCATGCTAAGGAGCTTGTACCAGGCCAGGCAGTGCCCCTTCTATTCTGAAGAGGGTCCTAGAAATGCAAAAAGAAGACAGCAGAAGCTCTGTCCCTCATGCTCACAGCTGCCAGGACCACCCAAAAAAGAAACACAAATTCAAGCAAGATTAAAAAAAAAAAAAAAACTTGGCCTGCAGGTGATAATAGGTCTCCTAATGGCAGGTATTCTCTGATCTTACACTCCAGCAGGGAATAATGGAGGTGTTCACCACAGACCTTTGTCACACAACAGAAGGGAGTAGCACCACAGGATAATGATGGCCTGGTACACAGGAATGGCCTAGACACTGCTATGCCCAAGACACTGGCAGAAAGGGATTGATTTGCTCAGCAGGAAACCACAGCTCTCTTCCCTCCAGCTAAACTCCCTGAGGCTGTCAGCCAGAGGAAGGTTGACCTAGTGGCAAGCAGAGGTGTCTGGAATAGGATACATTCACGAGTATATAGACATGAGGGACACTGGCCTGGAAGTCTCTCCTGAGGCTCTACAAGAGGCTGCAGGTTATGCTGGCATCGGCCAATGAACTCAGGTCAGGATACAGATGATGCCACCTGCTCGAAGCACCTTTCAGGGTAACCTGCTTCCATACTTCCAGACACACTGACACTTCAGCCACACTACCTAGGGAAGCCTGACCTCATGCCTCCCCCCAGTCAGCACACCAGCCCATTCTATTGCTGCCACCCAGAGTCACACCCCAGCAGAGCTCCAAATTCCCCTTACTCATTTAGATGCAGTGTGCCAAGCACCAGGAACATAGAACTGACTCCAGGGCCCATAACACAGCATACCTGTGTGCTGTTCACAAAGTTCCTCTAAGTGGATGCAACTGCTATCCCCAGTTTACACATGAAAACAAGGACATGTATCTAGTAGGTGGCTGCTACATCTGCATTATAAACAAGCACTCAACCTCATTGACTTCCCACTGATGAGCGTGTGAGTCAGTTGGGGTGACTCTGCTTCCAGTCAGAGGTCCATGGGTCAGCTGAGGCAACTTGCCCCACGTGGCTTTCATTTTTCCAGAATCAGGACAAGTATTTATGTTCCTGAACTCCTGGTGGAGGCACAATCTTGTAATAGTCCCTAAGGCTTAGTTTTGAATATACACACACTCATTGCTGTTCACTTTCCACTAGCCAACACCAGTCACCTGGCCAAGATGCTTAAGCTCAACATCAAAATCCTCCATGTAGGTGGGGATGAGGGGACGGGGATCACTTCCTGAACAACAGTCCATCCTTCCATACTGGAGAGCAAGGATCCACACATGGATCCTCCTGGGTGGTTTCCTCTGTTGTTTCCTTCCCCTCCTTCTTCCTCCCTATGAGCAAGAAACTCTAAACTCCAAGATCTTAAAACTAGTTGTAATCTGAATGCTTTGACCTAACATGAAACTCTTCAGCATGTTTTCTGTTAATTCCAACTTGAGTTCTGTTTAAAGGAGCCATCTCTTTGCTTTTTGCATTTGCTTCCACTTGGACATAAACTAACCACAGAACTTATCCTGGCTCAGGCTTATCCTGGCTCAGGATCTCTGCAGCTCCTACCTGTGTGTCCTTTGGCATGGAATCTCCAGTGGAAACCAGTATCAGCCAGAGGGACACAGTGGCTACTATCAGCACACACAGTAACCATAGAAGGCACATTGATGGGGCCAGTCTTCTCCAATTCTTTTCCTTGGAGGCCACACTGTAATGAGAAGACAATCTATTCAAGAAGAGTTACATGATCTGTTGACCAAAGGAGCACTCTCATTACTTGGTTGCAAATAGACTACAAGGGAGCAAAGGTAAAAATGGAAGAAGATTGCGTCCATCCAAATGAATGACATAGATTGTGACCAGGCGAGTGGAGAAAATGTGGACAAATGATTGGGGCTATTTCATAGGAAAAGCCAAGAGCTTTCTTACTATATCAGCAGTGCGATGAGAGAGAAAGAGTAGAGTCAAGGTTGTCTATAAGGTTTTTAGTCTGAGCAACTAGAGGAAAGACATTTCCTTCCCCAGAGACAGGGAAGACTTAGCTGAAGCGTGACTGTGGGTGGAAAGGGGATCCCAAATTTTGAACATGTTGTTCTTGGGATGTCTATTAAGCATCTGCGAGGAGGTGTGGTGTAGGCAGGTGAATACATGAATCTGGATTTCAGGAGAGAGAACTGAAGATACAAATGTGGAGGACGCCGATATCCAGATGGCATTTAAACTTGGATGAAGTCATGGGGGGAAGAATAAATAGAAGACAGAGGCGGGACATGTCCTTACTTTTGAAAGAGCAGCTCAAATCTTCATGACTTAGAATTTCTAAAGATATCTTCACAATCCCACCATGGAAGAAGCTTCCTGCATGGCCAGCTGAGGAAGTACAGGGAGGACAAAGCCTGGGAGAAAATCATCACAAAATGGCAGCTGGTCTATTCAAATGGTGTAAAGTTTGGGGCACAGAGGGGATGGCTAGGAAAGGGGAAAATTATGAAAAATCATTCTTTTGAGCCAGTAAAAAAAAAAATCAATGCCAGGGAATTCATAAAAATAAGAAAGAAAGAGAATCTTGCCAAGAAGATGGGAAAATTTTGAAAGCCATTCTGGTGAAGGCCACCATACTCATGGCGGGCAGTGTGTTTTTATGAAGAGAGATAGAACTGAACAGACCTGGGCTCCTATCCTGGCTCTACCACTTCCTTTGCTGTGTAACTGAGGTCAAGTTTTTTGGTTT